GGAAACATCCCGCGTACGAGTGACAACCGACTCGGCGAATCGGATGGTCGTAGGGGCGGCGGGCCGCAGGGCGCTCAAAGTGGAATCACACCCACTCTGAAGCGGGATGTGGAAGTGCGGCATCAGCCGTTGAGTCCTCCGACGGCAAGCACGAACCGGATAATTTCGTGAGCCGGAGGAAGGAAACACCCTGAGCCGTTCAATCTCCGTCGCAGACCGTGTCTGCTCTCAGCATAGCTCTCTCCAGGTTGGAGTACGCAGATCAAGAGTGGTACCGGTCAGCTCGGTTGCCATGTCAGGGCCACCCCGATACCCTCGTACACATTGCCGGCTTATCCTCGCCGGACAATCTCCTCGATCACAATGGCTGGCTCCGTCGTCCACTTCACCTTGGGGACGACTCAGTGGCGCAGACCTGTCAGACACCCTCCTGGATTTTCACCATGGCCCGGGTGCGGCGTGTCGTCTTCGGCTGCGGCAGGGCAGGGTCAATTGCAGTCTTGCCTGCGGCGAGCGTTCAGTGGCTTCCAGGGCATGATTTGCCCGTGTTGCCGATTACCAGCGAGACCCCTGTCATCCGCTGTAGGTCCGCGGGGGATCTCTGGGCGTAGCAACCGGTGGCCATGACCACGGCATCAGGGTTTTCGTTCGGCGGCGCCGGGCGGCGCGAAGGAACTGCCTGGCCTTGGCATCAGCCGTTGCGGTAACGGTGCAGCTGTTGAGAACGACTACGTCGGCGCCCGGCCGAGTCTCGACATCTGGGTTAGCGCTGCTTCCCGAAACTGCCGTGCGAGGGACTGGCTGTCGGACTGGTTCAGTTTTGCAAAGCAGCCGTAGTATGGCATCGCGACCTTTCGTTGGGGCGATTCCAAGGCGCGCTCTCCCGTGGGGCAGTCAGTTTTTGACGCCTTACTCGTCATCGTAGTCAATTTCCTGGTCATCCATAGGGAGCATGTCCCACAGCTTCTCGACGGCAGAGGTCACGTCTTCGAGAACGGCAATCAAGTGCTGGGCGCCCGCCCGCGACTCCCGCACCCTGTCGGCGGCGTCGGCGAAGGAGTTCAGTCGGCTGAAGGCATCCCGAATGCGCCGGTCGTTGATCTCTCTTCGTCCCAAGCCCTGGGCATACTCCTTCACAGCCCGTCGGTCGTCCACCTCGTCGCCACGGGTGAGGGCCACACCTTTTACCACCTACCAGCCAGGTATCGCTGGCCCCACAAGAGCTCTTCGCAAGCGCACCAGCGCTCTCTGACTCGCTTTCATTCATTGGCTTCGCGCCATACCTACCCCTGCCGCGGTAGCGCGCCAGCGGTTGCTGGTTGTGTGAAGGTTGGGTCATGGCTGCTCCTTCCGGTTAAATTGTACCCCATTGTTGGTTTGGTGCGCAGAGCGGCAGGGAACGAAAAAGCGGCCCGACTGTTGCCGGGCCGCTGGGGTCATGCCTCGATTGACGGGCTGAACGGGATGGGGGTTACTCGTCGGGCCAGCCTTCGGCCTCAAGGCCGGAGTCCAAGGCGGCCTGGAATGCTGTGGCGGCCTCTGGGGTCACCCATGTGCTCCAAGTGTCGCCTTCTTCCTTCAGCCAGTTCAGGGCCGCTTCCCCTGCGTGTGGCGTCGTTCTGGTCAGTCCACTGAGCAACGGCCTTGTAAACGGAGATGTTGAATTCCCAATTGCGCAGGAAGTCCATGACATCGGGCGCACGGGTGGGAAGGGCGGGATGAACCGCGATAAGAATGGTGGCGTCCTCGAAGGCGCAGGCCTTGGTGGTGAACCAGCACTCGTCGCTGTACGGGGTTTCTTCCAGAAGCACCAGGTCCAGCAGCAGAGCTGGGTCTGCGGTGCCCCACATATAGCCGAGCCAAGGTTCGTTCTGTTCGTAGGCCCCGAAGACCTCGGCGAACATGGCGTCCTGGGAGCCGGGCTTTATGACGTGCAGGTACTCTTCCAGCTCGTAGCCGGTTATTTGGGCATCGTTGACTAACTCGCAGGACCAACCGGGAACACAGGCTACCAGCCGGGCCTTGCCTCGACTGTCGTCAGTGGAGAAGAGTTCCTGGAACTGAGGGTCTTTAAGGTCGTCTATGTGATCCAGTTCGGGGTACTCCTCTTGCAGGTACGCCGGAATCACGAAGGTGCTTTGCCAGTCACTGCCCAAGCTGGCCCCAATTGGTACGACCTCGCCGTTGGCGAGAGCCTCATCCCAGGCTTCCGACTGGTTGGGCAGCCAGATTTCCATAGTGACATGAGTGTCACCGCCGCGCAGACCCGGAAGAGGGGCAAGGTGCCGCCAAATACCACGTCGGTGGGATATCCATAGCCGTGTTCAATGATGTACTGGGCTATACGGTTCTGAACCTGTGCGCTGGTCCAGTTGAGGTCGGAGAAGACGATGGTGTCCTTGGGACCTTCCGGTGCCTCGACTTCTACCTCGACAATCTTGGTTACCTCGACCTCTTGAGTAACTATGACTTCTTCGGTGACCACTATCTCTTCGGTGACCACCTTGGTTACTTCGACTTGGTCAGTTACCACCTGAGTAACCGGAACCTCGACTTCTCTTTCTACCTCGACGATCCTGGTTACTTCGACCGGCTCGGTTGAGCCGCAGGCCACGGCGGCAATCATGGCCATGATGGCCAGAAACATTGCCAAAGGAATAATGCGTTCTCGGGTCAACAATGCAATCCCTCCGCCCTCAATGGGGCCTTGTAGATATAAGGTTCGTTTCTGCTTTGGCGTGTCAGGAACTGACGGCTCGGCATAGCCGCCTAGCGGTAAGCGAAAGCTTAAAATTTATACCAGCCACTGCATTGCCTGTCAAACTCTAGCCTGTCGAAATCAAGGTTTTCTAGTGCCCCTCCTCCAGGGCTTCCTGTCTGCTGCGGGCCGCCGCCTGGGTCAGTCGGTCAAACACGATGGCTATGAGCACGATCGACATACCTGCGATCACGCTGTTGCCCGGGTCCTGGCGTTGGAGCGCGCGGAACACGTCCTCGCCCAACCCGCTGGCGCCCACCAACGAGGCAATGACCACCATGGACAGGGCCAGCATTGTTGTCTGGTTGATGCCGGCCATGATCGTGGGCAGGGCCATCGGCACCTGCACCTTGGCGAGAATCTGCGTGGGCGAGGCCCCGAAGGAACGGGCGGCCTCAACCGTAGCCGGAGACACCTGCCGGATACCGAGGTTGGTGAGACGGATAGCTGGGGGCACGGCGTAGATCACCGTGGCAATGACCGCCGGGGTGTAGCCCAGGCCGAAGAAAAGGATCCCGGGCACCAAGTAAACGTAACTCGGCATCGTCTGCATCCCGTCCAGTATGGGACGCATCATAGTGTTCGCCCTGTCGGAGCGAGCCCCCAGAATTCCCAGCGGCAGAGCAATCACAACGGAGATGACCACCGAGAACAATATGATGGCGATGGTCTCAACAGAACTGTCCCAGCGGTTCATCAGGCCGATGAACACCAAGCTTTCCCATAGCGAACAGGGCCAGCCGCCACCCTGCCACCACCGCAGCCATGGCCGAGACTCCCAGGAAGGTAGCTGGCCAGGGAATCCAGCGAAGGCCATCCTCCAACTTGACCATCGTCAAGGTTATCGCCTTGTCGATGCCGTCGAACATTGACCCCCAATTGCGCACCAGCCAGGTGGTTCCCTCTTTGATTTCATCGGAAATCACGCGGCTGATTTCCATGGGCTCGGAAACGCCGTCTTTCTCCATCGGAATTTCGCTGGGGAAGTCCATGTCGGGACCCCAAGCAACCAGGCAGACGATCAGGACCACCAAAAACATACCCAATACGGCTGCCCACCGCACAATGGCAGGCAACCGAGTTAACCGCTGCAACTGGGCCATCGCCCCGGCGGGTTCAGACTGCGCACCAGATTGGTCGCTAGTTATTTCCGCCACAGAAGCCTCCAATCTGTACTTGGAACCCGGTTCGCCCGTCCACGGTTAGCCACTGTCGTATTCCAGTTCCGCCTCGGTCTCGGCTGCGAGGGCCGCGTTGGCGGCGACGTTTGCCTCGAAATCCTGGTCGGCGGTTGAAGTCTCGGCCAGAGCCTCAGCCAGAGCACTACGGTGAATCTCACCAACGAGCTTGTTGTCTCGGTCGGTAACCGGTACGGGGTAATCGCTGGCCATGGCCAGCGGAATCAGCACGTCGAAGGTAGTATCCGGGCTAACTGTCTCATAACCCTGGTCAACATATCCCAACCCCAGGTCCAGCCGGTTGATACCCGCCCTCAGCGCCTGGTTGGCCTTGGCGATAGTGAGAATGCCAATGTATCTCTGACGGCGATCCACGATCCACGCGGCGTCGCCGTCACTGTCTGCGATGGTGTGCAGTGCTGCCCGCGGCCCCTGATGCCCCAGGACCGTGGCCTTTGGAGTCACCATCACTCGGCTGGCGGTGAGCACGCTCTCCAGCCGGACATCTTGCGTGAAATCACCGACGTACTGGTCCTCGGGGCGGAGCACGATGTCCTCCGGGGAGCCGATCTGCACCACTCGGCCATCCTGCATGATGGCGATGCGACTCCCGAGTTTGAGAGCCTCGTTCAAGTCGTGGGTGATGAACACTATGGTCTTCTGTAGTTCTTCCTGAAGCCTTAGGAGTTCGTCCTGCATCTGACGGCGGATGAGAGGGTCGAGGCCGCTGAACGGCTCATCCATCAGCAGGATATCGGTGTTCACCACCAAGGCACGGGCCAAGCCGACGCGCTGCTGCATTCCGCCCGAGAGTTGGCGGGGGTAGGACATCTCCCATCCGCCCAGCCCCACCATTTCGAGCACCTCGCGGGTGCGGGCGTGCCCGCTCCTCCTCAGAGACGCCCTGTACCTCCAGTCCCCAAGACGCGTTTTCCAGAACGTTGCGATGGGGCATGAGCCCGTAGTGCTGAAACACCATGGCTATCTTGTCGCGGCGGAACTCCATCAGCCGCTTATCGTCCATCGCGGTTACGTCATGCCCGTCGATGAAGATGCTGCCCGAGGTTGGCTCGATCAGTCGGATGAGGCAGCGCACCATGGTCGACTTGCCGCTGCCCGACAATCCCATGATGACGAAAGTCTCTCCCTTCTGCACTTCGAACGATACGTCGCTCAGGCCTATAACTACTCCCAGTTCCGACTGCAGCTCAGGCTTGCTCTTGCTGGAATGCTCTGATCCCAGCACTCTTTCCGGATTTCGGCCGAATATCTTCCACACAGAATCGACCCGGATGATAGGTCCCTGTTCTGCGCCGCCGTCAGTTCCCAGCAGCGTTTGATCCGCAAATTCCAAGCTAGCCTGTTCGGTATTTGTCGCCATTCCAGTCATCCTTATTCTCTACCCGTTGAGCGGCCGCCCGGTGGGGAATCAAGGCCCAATTCAGCGTGTCAGTTCAAATCACGGTAGGCAACCCATTCACGTTTGTCAACAAAGGCGTACGGACGCATAGCGTTCCGTTTCAGGTGGCCGAATCCCCATTCTGGTCGTGGCTTTGCCCTTGCCCTTGAGCGTCGCTAGACACACGGCCCTGGACTTTTTGGTCGCGGTGTATGACGGCAGTGGGGCGGAGAACCTGGGGAGCCCCGTAAGCCGACAGGTAGTCCGGTTGGGGGGGTACATGTGTGCAATTCTGTGCATTGTTGTGCATTTCCGTCGCTTTGAGGGGGTTGGAGAGGAGCCGGTACTGGGGCCCGGTAAGTGGGCATGGAACTGCTCAATGCGTCGGTCGCGGTATTGGAATCACGGGCTTTTGAGTCCGCCGAATTCGACGGTAGCCAAGTGTCATGAGGCTTGGCAAGGGGCTTCTGTCAGCAGGGTTGCGATTCGAATCCGGTGGTCTGGTCCGATCAGATCATCTTGACTTGGTAAATGGGCGGATTTGAGATCTGCCACTACAGTATGCGTACCACTTAAATTAGAACAGTACCCTACAGAATGCACTAGCCCCGCTTCAATTCTGCCTGTCGGGCTGATTACTAAAAGGGAGATCGTTTTGTATAGGAGATCGTTTTGTATAGGAGATCGTATCGTCTGAATTAGGAGCGCAGTTGGTTCCCGAAATCCCGGCCGATGTACGAATTGGCACCGGGTTCTGTGGAACCTCGTTTCCTTGGAGCCTGGTTGCGGTTGCCTATTCAGATGGCATATATAATAGGCCGCACTCACGCCGTACCTGATAGCGGTCCATGATTAATGAAGCTAGTCGCGGAGGTGATTTCTGATGAAGTATGACTATATAGTTGTTGGCGGTGGGTCTGCTGGCTGCGTCGTTGCGACGCGACTATCCGAGGACCCTGACAAGTCGGTGCTGCTGCTCGAGGCAGGGCCGGACTACCCCGAATTCGAGAATTTGCCCGACGACCTGAAGCGTGGTTACAACGTATGGCGTTCCGCCTACGGCCCCCACAGCTGGGACCTGCGGGGCATTGCCAACTCGGCCCAGACCGAGCCGATGGTCATCCCCCGGGGCAAGGCCACCGGGGGCTCCAGCGCCATCAACGGACAGGTCATCTTCCGCGGAGTGCCTGAGGACTACGACAACTGGGCGTCCTGGGGCAATGGCGAGTGGGCCTTCACCAGCTGCCTGCCGTACTTCCGCAAGATGGAGAACGACAGGGACCATCCCGGCGACGACTTTCACGGCGACGAGGGCCCTCTCCCGATTCGGCGGTTCAAGAAGGAGGAATGGATACCCGTCTCCACCGCCTTCTATGATGCCTGCGTCGGCGTGGGCTTTCCCGAGGATGCCGACCAGAACTCGCCCGACTCCAACGGCATCGGCGTCCGGCCCCTCAACAACATTGACGGCGTGCGAATGAGCACCGCGCTGACCTACCTGTCCCAGGCCCGACACCGCCTGAACATCAGCGTCCGAGGCGACGTCACCGTGCACCGTGTCCTGTTCGACGGTAAGAAGGCCATCGGCGTACAGGCCGAGAGCGGCGGGGAGGTGTTCACGGTCGAGGGCGAGCAAATCATCCTCAGCAGCGGCACCATCGGGTCCTGCCAGGCCCTTCTGCTCTCCGGGGTCGGACCGAAGGACGAGCTGGCCACCCATGGCATTGCCTCCGTCCACGACCTGCCGGGCGTCGGCAAGAACTTCTGCGACCACCCGGCGGCGTACATGGTTTTCCGCGGCTATGGAGACCCAGCCGATGTTGAGACTCCCACGATCCAGGTCGGGCTGCGGTTCAGCACGCCGGAATCTCCCACGCGCGCCGACTTCCAGATCACCCCTACCCTGATGACCAGTGAGCACCGCCCGGCCAGCGTCAGCTACGAGGGCGACGAATTCCACTGGGGCCTGAGCGTCGGCCTGCAGAACGCCACTTCGGCTGGCGAGATCACCCTGACCACGGCCGACCCCCACGTTCAGCCGAGGCTGGACTATCAGCTGTTCTCCGCTCCCTACGACCGGGAGCGGATGCGCGAGGCTCTGCTTACGGCAGTTCGTATCGCTGAGCACCCGACCATGTCAGCCCACATTGCCGAGATGCTGAACCCGACCGAGGCTGACTTCGCCTCCGACGAGGCTCTGGACAGCTGGATCCTGCGCAATGCCTATACCCAGCACCACATCGCCGGCACCTGCAAGATGGGCCCCGCTTCCGATCCGATGGCCGTGGTGGACCAGTATTGCAAGGTCCACGGGCTCGAGGGGCTGCGGGTGATAGATGCCTCGGTGATGCCGGACGTGATCCGAGCCAACACCAACGGCACCACCATCATGATCGCCGAGCGGGGGTCCGACTGGATCAAAGAGGAGAAGTAGGGGCAATCCCGCAGGGATTACCGCTACAGTAGACCACTAACCAAGGGACGGGGTTTCACCCGTCCCTTTTACTATTTCGGAGACACCCATCTATCCTGGCCGCATTGCCTCCAACGCGTTCTGCAAATCGGGTGGCAGCGGCGATCGAAACTCCAGCGGCTCGCCGGTTATCGGGTGGGCGAAGGCCAAGTGATGGGCGTGCAGGAAGTGTCCCGGGAGCAGGGGACTTCGCCTGCCATATACCGCATCGCCCAGCAATGGGTGTCCCAACCATGCCAGGTGCACCCGGGCCTGGTGCGTGCGCCCGGTGTGCAGCCGCAGCTCCAGCAGGCTGTATGCGCCTGCCCGCTCCAACAGACGATAGCCGGTGCGGCTTTCACGGCCACCCGGCGTGACAGCCATCCTAGTGCGCCGACGAGGGTCGCGCCCGACAGGAACGTCTATCAGGCCGACCTCGGGGGAGGGAGTACCTTCAGCCAGCGCAAGATATCCCTTCTCAACAGCCCGGTCCTTTATCTGCTGTGACAGGTGATAGTGGGAGTCCTGCGTCTTGGCCACCATCAGGAGCCCCGAGGTGTCCTTGTCCAGCCGGTGGACGATTCCCGGACGAATCTCGCCGCCGATACCCTGGATGTCGGGGCAGAGGGCCAACAGGCCGTTGACCAGCGTTTGGTCGGGGTGGCCCGGCCCAGGGTGTACCGACAGCCCCGCTGGCTTGTCGATCACCACCAAGTCCGCGTCCTGGTACACCACGGCAAGGGGGATGTCCTGCGCCACCACGCCCGATGGCCTCGGGGGCGGTACCGTTAGCAGGATGCGGTCGCCCGGCCGCACCCGGTGCGCGGGCTTAACGGCCGATCCATTGACCACCGCGTGGCCCTCGGAGATCAGCTGCCGCAGACGGCTGCGGGTAAGGCCGAGATCAACTTGGGACAGGTACTGGTCCAAGCGACTCTCCGCTCCTGCCACGCTGATTTCGTGGACGGTTGCGGCTCCCTTGCTGCGTTCACTTGCTGTCACTGGCCCTGGTCTCCTCGCGGAGCGGAAACCGACGGCAGTACCCGTTCGCGAACGCCACATGTGGAGCAGCGCCAGCCTCCTTGCGGCAGGGCCCGCATGGTTCCATCGCATACAGGGCAGAAGTCCGAAGCATCCCCATCCGGTCTGGTACCCTCCGAGCGCTCCGCCATCACGAACAGCCAGGCCAGGATGACGAGTCCGGTCACTATCGAGGCATCGGCAATGTTGAACACCGGCCATGGTCCGACATCCACCCAGTCGATAACGTGCCCAAGGCGCACCCGGTCAATCATGTTGCCAAAGGCCCCTCCCAACTGCAGCCCCAAGCTCAGTCGCAGCAGGCCGGTGGGGTATCGTTGGCTCCGGTAGAGCAGGACCAACACCGCCACGCCAATGAAGGAAACCAGGATCAGCGGACTGTTGTAGCCTTGGAACAGCCCGAAAATGCTGCCGGTATTGAACGTGTGGGTGATGCGAAAGAACCCCTCTCGGGGGTAAGAATCGAAGAGGACGAGGGATTCCCTGACCATGTATTTGGAAAACTGGTCAGCCAGGAAAATGAAGACCGCCAGCTGGATCAGCAGGAGGTCCCGGTATATCGGAGTGCGTTGCGCGGTCCGGCCTTCCGGGGGTTTGCCCGATTGAATAAGCCAGTCCCTGGCGTGGCGGGAATTCATTGGACATGACTGGAGGCCACGTCAGACAGCGGCGAAACTCCCGAGACAAGCCCGGCGTGACGGGGTGCAGAGGTCAAAGAGGTCAGCCCTACTTCAAGTGTTCGACGAAGAAACGGGAGACCTCGGGAACTAGCCTTTCTTCGTGTCCGTACCAGAAGTGGTCGACGCCGTCGAATATGCGGCTCTCCGGCTTCTTGGTAAAGGAGTCCAGCTCCTCGGGGAGTTTCTCGGAGTCCACGAGCCGATCGCGGTCGCCGGCGACTATCAGGGAGGGAATCTTGTGTTCCTTGAGAGGGCTGCTGCTGATGTAGCGAAGCGCCGGAGACACCAGAGCCACGGCGTCTGCCTCTTTCTGGACGGCATCATGGCGGAGGATCACGCCCGAGCCGAAGGAGTATCCGATCACTCCGGTCTTGCCGCGGGTGTCGGGCCAGGCCTTGATGAGATCCAGGGCACCCAGCACTTCCTCGAATTCCTTCTCTCCCTCGGCGTGTTCTCCCTCACTCTCTCCCACACCACGGAAGTTGAAACGCAAGGTTACGAATCCCTCTTCGGCAAGGCCCAACGCCAGCGCCAGTACCACGTTATTCTGCATCGAGCCGCCGTGCAGAGGGTGCGGATGGCAAATGACCACCCCGGGCCAAGGACCACCCTGGGCATCGGGCTGGGCAACTACGCCTTCAAAACTGAGACCGCCGGTCTGAAAGGAAACGGCACTTTGACGCAAGGTGGGCACCCCCGTTTGACTGTCGTCTTGTTGGTTCATGTTAGGGCTCGGTTGGATGCATTTGCAAGGAGTAGTTGGGGGTTGACCCGGCTTTTGCCAAAGCGGTGGAGAAAAAGGGGAGGGGCCACGGTGG